GGACTAATGACTGTCCACTTCATGTTCATGGCGTCAAGCAGGAGGGCTGTGTGTCCGTCGATGCTGAACTGCCAGGACGCGCCAGTGCATCGCTCTGCTTCACGCCGACAACACAGCTTGGCCTGCAGGGTGGGAGGACCTGCCATCCCACAAAAAGAATCATCCTGGACCCTCCGGAGCCCATCCTTCCCCAGTGGCTCAAGTGTCTCTGCACATTAGGGGCCTATGTTCTTCTCCCCATGACTTGCCCATTCTTGCCCATTAAGTGTATCGTGTTCTATGGTTGGACCTGTGGTCAGTTCTTTCAAATAAAGCCCCTTCCCTGCATGTGCTCTGCTCTGTCCCCTCTCTTGCTGACTGTCTCCATCTCCCCACCCACTTCCCACACTTACCCCTGGTCTTGTTTTTGTGTGGTTTCAAGACAGGCAGCATCATTCTGAGCTCTTGCCCCACCTCTGCCAGTGTCTGGCTCAATTCTGTCCATGCTTTGGTGGCATTTACTTCCTTCCCCAGGAGACCCAAAGGTTTGACCTCATTGCTGTCAGCGTCATAGTGGAGGAAAGGCTTTGTATCCACCGAGCCTTGAACCTCACACCAGGGCTGTCCGGGTCTGGACTGTGATTTGATGGTGAGGTCGAGGCAGAGAGAATGAGCATCTGTGAGAGACAAACATAGGGGTGTCCCCAGAGACGCCCCCTGAAGGGCCTGGCTGCAGAGGGAGGAGTCTCCATCCCAGACACCCTCCATCGGCTGCATCCTTAGTCCTACTTCACCTTTAACTGAGGATTAATAAAAAAACATTCATGCTACCATGGACCCCTCAGGGGCACAAAATGTTGCCAGGAGGATTCTTCTGACAAATATATTTAGCGTTAGGTTCCAAGTTCTGAGGTACAAAAAAGTACAAGACGGTTTCTATCCTCCAGGAAGTTAAAATCTGTATGAACAGACAGGACTTTCCAAAAAGGGAAAAAAGGCACCATAGGACACATGCCACATTCATGATGTGACGGGCACCCACATGTCTGAAAGCTTCGTGAGGTCCCATCCCCATTCTCCCTCTCATGAGCCAAGCCTCTCCCGAGCCAAGCCTCTCCCTTCCAGGATACTCACCGCCCTGGGACCCCCAGGCTTCTCCCCACACTGGAAGCAGCAAAAGGAAACGTGCAGCACAAGATGCTGCCAGCCAAGTCCCTGCTGAGCACATTATGGGAGGAACTGGCAAGTAGGAGCTGTGTGCAGGCACTGAGTAAAGTCGGCTCTCCCTCTGACTCACACACCTGTGAAATTCAATGGAGATATATTGAACTGAGGGAGAGATTTGGAAGCATTCAAAATATAATCCCTCAATTATAATTACAGCATGGTTAGTGCACAACATGATAAATATAATCAACAGTAGAGTATGTGATAAACGGAATTTCTTGAGAGAGTGAATCCTAAGAGTTCTCATGAGAATGAAAAAAGGATTTTAATCTTTCTCCTTTACTTTGTATCTGTATGAAAGGATGGCTGTTGACTAACTTACTGTGGTAATCACTTCATGAGTAAGTCAAATCCTCACGTGGCGCCGTCAATTTCTACAGTGCTCTAGATCAGCAGTATCTCAGTGAAACTCGGAGAAAACCAAATCAAAAACCCCAAATACAATTGCTCATTTAAAAAGGAGGTTTTGAAAAAACAAAATTCACCTTGAAAACCTCTCTCGTTCTCCTAAAAACCCCTTTTGGAGTGAGCAGGGTTGTGGGAGGTGACGGAGCCTCTCTCTGCTGCCCACCTTCCAGCAGCTCTGTCTTCCCTGCCCTCTCCCTCTGGTCCACCCCCTTTCTTCCCATCCCACCTCTCTCCTCCCTCATTTTGTCACTCCCACTCCCAAGCCATTCAAACTCTTGAGTGACTGATTTGTTCTCGGCAAGTAGGATGTGAACCAACCTAGCTGAAGACAGCCCCACCTGGTTTATCAGCCAAGATAGGTTTGCAATAGAGTCCGACAACCCTGTTCGAGCCAAGACCTCAGAAAAACCCAAGTCATCTTTCTATCATTAGAAGAAGTCCTAGAACTCTGAGTTTTGAACTGTGAAAAGTCGTCTAAGAACCGAGTTTCAAGGTAACTTTGAAATATCTCATATCATTTTTCACTTGAGGTTTCCTCTTAGGGCTGAATAGTGTGGAGCCCACTTCCCCCCTCACGTTTTCAGCTGGCGCATCTGTTCTCTCCATCTGTCTCAGTCAGCTCGAGGTGCTATAGCAGAATACCGTAAACGGGCAGCTTACACGACAAACATCTATTTCTTACAGTTCTGGCAGCTGGGAAGTCCAAGGCACCAGCAGCTCCTGTGTGTAGCGAGGACCCTCTTCCTGGTTTTCAGATGCTGTCTTCTCCTTCTGTCCTCACTCAGGGGAGAGCCTGAGTGTCAGCAGGCACTCCTGCATCCTTTTACACTCTCAGCAACAGGAACTGCACCCTCATGACTCATAGTCTCCAAAGGCCCTCCTTCCTAACACCTACTCGTTGAGGATTTCAACGTATGAATTCTGGAGGTAAAAAACACTTAGTTCATGACAGCATCCACGCATGCAGTACTTAAGCCGGCTCTTTGCCAGGCACTATACTGGTTATTTGAAAGAAAGTCAGACCTGTTTGGTGACATCTTGTGGTTAGACTCTGGGGCTCTCCAGATGCCTGGTAGTGGGTCTGCACCACTAGCTTTTCCTTGACTAGACCAACCAGACTTCAAAGAAAGTAACCACGGACTATGTGCAGGCCTCCCTCTCTGAGAAAAAGGACTTGTTTCCCCAGAGGCCTCTGCTTCAGAGTGTCTGATGGAATCCAGGAAGGTACAACCATCATCTCATGCTACTAAGGTTAGATAACCTGACTTGAGAACGCATTTCTACCTCCTCGTCTGGAGGAAAGGCCACATGTTTTTCCCAGGGGAAGCCTGTGAACATTTCGCCTGGGTACAGCATGCAGAAAGGTGATTTACACAAGCTGCTATGAGGACACCCACAGGGGTGTGTGCTGTGGAAGCACACAGGGTGTGTGTGTGTGTGTGTGTGTGTGTGTGTTGTGTATGAGTGAGACACGATCACCTTAACTTCTTAACAGGGTCAGTGTCTTCCATAGGTCTCTGCTCGAGTGGGCTTGAGGTGTCAAGCCCAAGCCTAAACTGTAGGCAGCTCCTTGAATCCACAGGAAGACAGAAAGAGCGCTGGTAAAGGGAACTGCGTGCCCAGCACAAAACATAGGACAAATGTACTTCCTTTTTCTTTAATCTTGAACATCTGCTTCTTAAGAATCCTTCCTTTAGATTCTTACATAATTTACTAAATTCTTACAGTGGCACTGAAGTGACTCCCACGAATTGTAGACTATCTTACCTCCTGTTTTGCTCTAACTTGCTTCTTAGTAAGATTTTTTTTTTTACTACATATATAATTTAGTAGCTACTCTGAAGTACATTCCAATAGACATGATTTGGATACAAAACAGAAAAGAAAGAGAAGGTAGGAAAGAGAAAGTACAAAACAGAAAGGGAAGAAGTCAGAGGGAGCAGGTCACAGCCCACCCTCTCTAGCAGCATTCCCCACCTGCTCCTCATCCAAAGGGTCCCCACATTCCCCCTTGAACCTCCAGGGTCACAGGCACACAGGTCCTCCCCAGCACACATGCACCCCCTCACTTCACACTGCCACCCACACTGACCCTCCATCTCCACACACTCTGCCCCGCACGTATGGGAAGGTCCCGGTCCCTCCATGTCCTCCCCAGCACAAGCAGATTATTGTCCGTCTTCTGGTGATAGTCATCCTGCTGGGTGTGAAGGGTTTTGTGCTTTTGATTTGTATTTCTGTGCTGGTTAATGATATTGAGCTGGATAGTGAAATTGAGCTATAATGCTATTGCTGGATAATGATATTTCCATGTGCTCATTGGCCATTGGTATGTTTCTGTGGAGAAATGCCTGTTCAAATCCTTGGCCCATTTTAAAATTGGATTATTACCTTTATGCTGTTTTGTGTAAGAGAAATTTATGTATCTGGATACATGATGTCCCGTACCAGTTACATGATTCGACAGCATTTTCTCCCGTTCTGTAGGTTGTCTTTTCAGTTTCTTGATGGTGTCCTCTGAAGTGCAAATGCTTTAAATTTTGAGGAAGTCAAATTAATCTATTTTTTTTTCGTTGTTGTTCCTTGTGCTGTTGGTGTATTTAAGATTTTGCCAAATAAGCTCACAAAGATTACCCCTATGTTTTCTTCTGGTACTTCCATAATTTAACTGTTGTACACATATGTATAATCCACTTTGTGGTATGAATGTGCCAGTTATGTCACTCCCATATATTCTGCTTTGAATACTGATTATTTTGACGAAAGGTACTTATCAAACAGGAAAAGCAAGAAGAGGCTTTTGCCTAATGACGGCTCCATGGAAAGGTATCAGTTATCAACACTCTCCCCTCGGGGAGTTTCATCAACCCTGAGAATTCACTCTTCTCACTAGAGAGGAGACTAGAAGTCAACACCCCACCCAGACAGTCTTTCACAAACCCCTGTACCTCTCACCGCGTGCTCCTGGGGCCCATTCACCTTCTTAAAAATCACTTACTCTCCCCTAAGAGCGGAGGTCACCCCTCTTCATTACTAGGACGAAACCTAATCCTGAATTCTAAGCCACCCCAGGGAGTTACTCATTCTTATTTGCACATCTCCCTGTGTACGTGAGGAATATGTGTAATAAACTTCTGTTCACTTTTCCCTTGATAATCTCTCTTTTATTACTAGAAAGTAGAGAGAACATTATTTTGTTTCCTTAGAGGTGAAAGGAAGGGGTTGAAGTTCATTCTTTTGTAGAGGGCTAGTTTTTTCATGTGCTCTTGTTTCTTTCTGAGTCAGTTGCTACTGACTCCTTTTTTTTCTTGATTATGGGTCACATTTTGTTGCTTTCTAGCATGTTTAGAAATTTTTGATTGGATGCTTGAACATTGTGAATTCTACATGGTTAAATATCTGTATGTTTTAGGAGGACAAGAAGAAATCACTGGATAGGAAAACAGCAACCTCTGGTATAAATTTTTTAATTTCCAGAGTTGACCTTTAGGAACCTATTTCTCCCAGGTTGAGAAGAGAGTAGGAGGTTAAAAAAAAAAAAAAAAGAAAAAGAAAAGAAAAAAAATTAGCCTAATATTTCTTGCCATCCCACAAAAAGGAAAACTATTAAGGTTTCTTAAGGTGTGTATTTGAATGACCTTGAGGCTGAAAAAAATGGCCTCTTAGCCCTGAAGGCTGTGTCTGGAGACGAGCACTTTGGGTTGCGAGTTTCCGCTGTGAGACATTTTCCCCACACGACCGCAGCCACTTTCAGATGCCCAAGAAGCAACATAAGTTTTCCTTTTTGCCTTAAAAGTCAGAGCTTGAGTAAGCGTGTTATGAGGAGAAACTTTCATGTGTGACAAAAGTGGCCCCTGAAGGTATCATCAAACCTTCTAAGACTAATTATTATAATAACTGTTAGTATTAAAAATAAATGTGTATGATAATATGATATAATATTAACTAACAATTGTATATGGTTTCCCAGTATGCAAACACTGATACACATGACTGCATTGTGGCCTTCACAAAAGGGTTCGTTGGAGACGTGACCTCACTC